GCAGGTCCGGCTCCCGCAGAGGGTCCCGCGCTTCCGCCGCCCGAACTCGGGGGGTGGGGAGGAAGGAGGAAGGAGGTGCGCGGACACTCAGAGCTCCCCCTGTTCGTGGGAGGTGTAGTCGCAGTTTGGAGAGCGGTCATTAGGCTGACGTTCAGAGTTCAGACGGACAACAGGGTCACACTACAAAATACAAGTCGAGAGAGAAACTTTACTGTCACAGGCTGTGACACAAATAGGATTTGCAGGAGAGCGCGTGCTTTCACAGTGCTAGCTGTCCTTGGCCCCGGGCGAGCCGGGAGAGGGGAGACCTGCCGCAGACGCTGCCCGCGAAGTCAGGGCTTGGCCAGGTGACTCAGGGGCCGCCTGGAACTGGCCCGCCTGTCACCTGGCCTCTCCCCCGAGGGCGGGATACAGAGAAGGGCAAGGTGGAGCCGGAGCCTCCTGCAGGGCGGCGGCGGAGCCTCCTGCAGGGCGGAGGCGCCTCCCGTTCGCCCGCCTTTTCCTTTGCCGCTCCTTGCCCCTTCCTTGCCCCCGCCCGCCTCTCTCCAGCGCCTTCTCCCTCCCTCGGCTCCATTACTGGCTGTGAGCTTGGCTTTTAAAAGATGGTGATTTCCTGGACCGAGAAGAATGTCTTCATCTAAGTCTCCTCCCTGCCCACCCCCCAGGGCTGCCTCCTGTGTCCCACCTGTCCCTTTTGAGGGCCATGGGTGTTAGGCCCCAACCCGACCTCTCAGGTGATCTCGCAGATTATTTTCGCAGATTAGGGAGTGGGTGGCCCCGGCCCCCGCCCCGAGGCAGCCCCTTGCTCGCGGGCTTCACCTGGCACAGATCACATCCTTGGGCGGGTACTTTCGGCACTGGTAGCCATTGAAATAGAATTTTAGTTAAAAAGGAGGGATTAGTTTTTCTTTACATTGGCTTTCGTCCAAGTGGGCTTTTTTGTTCTTTACTGGTCACAAAGTTAATAGAACTCATTGTAAAAAAACAAAAAAACAACAACAAAAAAAAACAAAAAAAGAAAACCAAAAAAAAAAAAAAAAACCCCAAACATGTAACAGAAAGTGAAACTTCCAGCTTCTTCTACTCCCCAAAGGTAAACGCTCAGCATTTCGCTCTATCCCCGCCTCTTTCCCGTAAGTGCGCACAGAGACAGCGTTCACTTTTGAAATATGTTCATTCAAAATATTATGTTTATACTCTAAGCTATTTGCACTAAGTAATCTGCCCATCAGATTTTTATTTTAATGGGATATATTAAACAAAAATATCAACTTTAAGAGGGCCGAAAGTCTTTCTGAAGGAACGAGTTTATTACGCCATTGTTACAGAGAGAGAGAGAGAGAGAGAAGGAGGGAGGGAGGGAGAGAGAGAGAGACAGAGAAGGGCAGCCTTGGGGCCTGGCGTCTGGACCATCAGCAGCATCCTCCTGCGGCCCCCCCCCCCCTGGAGTTTTGCAAGTGTTTTTACACTCGCTGGGTTGGGGGGGGCATTGTGAGTGACCGAAAGGGCTCACAGGAGCTCAGGTCAGAGGGGAAGCGGGGCCAGTCTCCGGCTGGGTGGGCAGAGTCCCCTGCTGAGTCCGGAAGCTTGGTGGAGCCGGGAGCAGAAGCTCCAGGGGGCGGCAGTGTCTCTGGCTCTTCTCTCTTGGATAATCTCGGGAACAGCCACCTGGAAGGAAACAGCCACCTGGAAATCCGTCCGAAATTCCAGCAGATTCCAGAGGCCTGAGCAGCCTCTCGTCAGAGCTGCCCCGCAGCTGCTAGCGGGCTAACCGTCCTGCCTCTGTCTCACTCTTGGGCTGCTGAAATTTTAATCTAGAACATCTCAGATTATTCTTCTTGTCAGTTAAAACTAACAAAACAAAACAAAACAAAAAACCAACCCTCCTTCAACAACTCCTCCCCCCAGGAAACAAAACTAATTCAGATTTTCTTGGTTTTATATGGGGGGCATGGGGCGGAGTTCCAGGGAAGCCCTCCTGGTATACAGAGGCGTCCTGGGGAGCTGCGGGGGGGGGGGGCTTCCCTTCAGGCCCAGGACGCAGCCCTCCCATGGCGTGAAGTTCAGCATCGTGGTAAAATGCCGGAGAAACGCTTCCTAAACGGTCGTGGTCCTCAGGTGCCTGGGCCCAGCCTCACCTGCCCAGGAGCTGGCCGGGCTTCAGAAAGTCGCCAGCCCTGCAGGCTCTTGCTCAGGACAGAGCACACACCTCGTGCCACAGCCGATGCCGCTGCCCATGCTGCTCTCAGGTCAGACTCCTGAACGACGGAGTTTGAAATCAGAGCTTCCATGGCGACTGGACGCCGCCCAGCCCTCCCCTTTGTCCCTGATGCCCCGTGGTTTTAATCCTGGCTTCTCTCTGTCACTGGTCCCCGGGGTTTGCGGGGCCCCTAATCCCCTCCTGCTTCCTCCCCGCACTGATGTCATCTCTCACATTTCAAACCTGCTTTGTGATGTGACTCAGGCTTCATTTTCCCCTTGGGGCGAAGGCACCTCGTGCAGAAACCACGGTGCCTCAAACGAGGCATCCAACCTTAGCTCTTTGCCCAGCAAAGGACACTGTGTCCTTCCCTATCGTCCCAGCGAGACACAGGCGTCACTGACGGCCTCTCCTAACTCCGGCTGTGGTCAGCCCGGAGGGCGTCATCTCCCGGGTCCCTCCTGTCCTGGGCGCATCTCCACCCTGTGCCCCTCGAATCCCTCCCCCAGGGAGGAAAAGCTTCTGTTCTCTGAGGTTCAGTTCTTAAGTGAATTAAAGTGACAAAAGCCAGATTAGCAAGGAGAGGCCACAGCGGGAGAAAGAGAAAGGTCCTTCAGGAGGAGAGCGGTACGGAGAGGAGGGTCTGGGACATTTTTCCAAGGGAGGTTAGGGGGGCCCCCTGGAGGACTCTGGCAGTGAGCTCTCCCAGGAGGCCCGGATCTGGGGAGGCCCCGATCTGGGGAGGCCCTGCTCTCAGGCACGAAAATCTTCAGTTCAGAGTAAGTGCTGTGTGCATGGCTTGTTCTGGGCAGATCTCTGCCTCCCTGTCCTTCTCTGCTCCCGGCCTTTCAGGCCCCAGTCAGCTCCAGCGGACGCCCGTGTGTTTTTAGGGTGATGCGACCGTGTAGCCAAGGCTGTGAGCTTCGCCCTCTCTGTCTCCCTGCACGGGGCCGGCCGTGCGGGTTCCCTCCGGGGCTGCTGCCCGTGCACCTCCGGGGCTGCGTGTCGCAATGCCGAGAACATGTTAGTCCTGTCCAGTCTCTGTCACACCCCTTCCTGGCTGCTCCTAGTCCGGAGCCACTGAGAACCCGCCCGCTGCTCACGGCCGAAGCCTCCCTGCTGGCTCTCCTGCAGCTGGCCTACGTCGCTGGTCACTCTGGGCTGGCTCTGTTTGCTGCTCAGTGTTCTGGATCTTTCTCGCGCCTCTCCAGATGGCACGTCCATGGCAGAGGCTTTTACAGTAGCTGATGCTACACCAAACAGATGCACCCCGAGGCTCCGGGTCGGCTACCTCTTGGTGATTTCACAGTTACTTAAGTGCCCGACGCGTGTGACGCGTGGCACTCTGCTGTGTTTCGGATACTTAGGCCTTTTCTACTTGTGTTACTAAAAGGCGAAGGGCTTTGCCCCAGGGAACTAAAAGCGAGCCCCAGAGCCCCTGCAACGGCACCGCCAGCCTCTGGCGGGGTGAGCACGGAGAAGGCAGGCCAGAGGGAGCCTTCTTGGGGGGCGGTCCCGCGGGACTCTTCAGTGACCGGTTGGGCCACTTGGCCTTTCTCGGCTACACAGGAAGCAGGAAGTGGAAGCCGCGGGGTCCGGTCTGAGCGGATGCCGGCCCGGAGGCTGACCGCGCAGCATGGAGCAGGCATCCTCGCTCATGCACGTCGTCTGATGGTCAATCTACGAATGGCCCCTCCTGGTTAACCTGCGCGAGGGCAGCAACGTGCCGGAGCAGTCACGACTCTGAGAAGGGCTAATTGAATCATTCTAACTAAAGGCTAAATTCTAGCACAGCCTCATCCGTTGTGATTTGCTGTTGGTGTCAAGGGGAGGGGGCGAGGACTGGCCATGAGAATGTTTTCTCTGGTTCAGGGGCAGGAAAAGCGGCCAGCCGAGCAGGACACGTTCTCTGCAAGGCCGGGCAGGATGCTTTCTCTGTGACCGGGTTTCTTTCTGGAAAGTGGGATTTGGACTCTCCAGGGAGCACGCTCCTTCAGCAGCTGCTCGGGAAGGTGCCTCTAACCCTCCCTCTTTCCTTCCTGGCCCTTGGGGCTGCACCTCCCCCACCCCTACAGGAAGGAAGAGCAGCCCAGCTCCAGGGGCCAGGCGGCCTGGGGAGGTCACTGGGAGCCCTGCTGCTTCTGCTGGGAACACAGCCTGCCCCCAGACGCTGGCCCTGGAGACTGTGACTCTGCATGGCCCTGTGTCCTGCTGCTGCTCTCAGTGGCAGGAGGGCGTGTCTGCACTCAGAATAGTCAGTCCACTCTCCATGACTGGCAGGGCTGGGGAGGGGGTGGGACTCAACGGAGGGCCTTCTGCCCCCACCCTGACTGCTGTGTGTTTACTGGAAACCAGACCTATGCGGGAGCTGGGCCCTGTGTCCGTCTGACCGGGCGGTCAAGGCCCGGAATCCTGGCCTAAGGTTCTGACCATCAGCTGCACGCCGATGTGCGTGCGGTTTTCCCCACCAGTTCTCGCACACCGGCTGGGTCCCCAGGATCCCACTCCTTGGGTTCGATTCATTTGCTAGAGGGGCTCACAGAAGTCAGGGTGACGGGTTACTCACTAGATCACCAGATTATTATAAAAAGATGCAACTTGGGAACAGCCGGACGGAAGACACACAGGGCAGGGTCTGGGGAAGGGGCTCAGAGCTCGCATGCCCTGCGCAGGGGCCACTGTCCCCACCTCTCCACGTATGCACCACTGGGAAGCTCTCTGAACCCTGTCTTTTCGGTTTTGATGAACTCACTGGCCTTTGGTGATGGAGTCAGCATTTCCTTTTGTTCTGTTCCCTGCCCGGAGCGGGTGGGGCTGAAAATTCTAGCTCATCACTTGGTATAGGCTCAGGAGCTCTGCCAGACCGCGGAAAACCTGGTCCATTCGTAATCCTGGTGTCCCAGCCCTGGAAGGAACCTGCCTACGTGCAGGCTGGCACCTCTCACGACTCATTCGCTTCCCAGCTGCCCTTGGCTGGTCGGAGAGGCTGGCATCCTGCAGAACTGTTTTAGGAACGCCCGGCAGGGGGCAAAGCCAGCGGAGGAGACACAGGCAGGAAATGCAGGAGAGCTTTTGCTCCAGACCCAGCTATTGCAATTTTCTCTGGCTTTCGGAGTTTGCTCAGAATGGTCCGTACTTAACTGTGGCAGTAACAGTTATTGACCTCTTTCTCCCAAACGGGGCCTCTGGGGTTTAGCGTGGTGGGCCCCACGTTTCGATAGGTGGCGGCGAGGTGCCAGGTCGGCCACGCGCCCTGAAGTGGCGGCCTGGCCGCAGGCTCCGGGTTTGCTGCCCGGCGCTGGGCGACACTGGCGCCCTTCACTTCGCGTCTCCAGACGGCGCCCTTCCCCTTGGCCGCAGGCTTCGCTCGCGAGTTTGCTGCCCGGCGCTGGGCGACGCTGGTGTCCTTCACTTCGCGTCTCCAGACGGAGCCCATCCCCCCAGGCCGGGCCGGGGCCGGGCAGGTGCACGGGCTCAGGGGCCGGGGCCCCGTCACCGAGCTGCCCTTCTGCGCCAGACGGCCTGGGGTCAGCCCGTGTGCGACGCCGAGCCCCAGCGACCGCGCTGGTCCGTGGGTCGGTCCCCTCGCGGCTTGGGGTGCAGGCGGGGCAGGTCCTTCTCCTCCGCGCACGGCAGGTCCCAGAGAGCCGGTGCCTTTGCCCTGATCCCTCCTTGCCCGCTGTGCTGTCCTTGAGACCTAAAGGAGGACGGCGACGAGTTTTGACGCGTGGGGCAGCGGGCGTGGCCTGTGGGGTCCTGGTGGGGTTCCGCAGGTTAGCCGCCTCGGGCGTCACGGTGGCCTTGGCTCCCATTTGGGTTCACTATTGTTATGCGAACCCGGCAAGGGGCCAAGGGATCTGGGGCGCGGATGCCCTCAGGGAACCGGGCCGTAAACGCCTCGAGGGCCGGAAATGGAAGCGCCAAGGACGACCGGTCAGGCGGCGAGGACAACCAATCAGGCGGCTAGGACAACCAATCAGGCGGCGAGCAGCCCTCCCACCCACCGCGACAGCCAACCAGGAGCGCTCCGCCCCGCGCCCGGCTCCGCCCCCGAGCCCCAGGCTCCGCCCCACGCCCGCCCGCTTCCGCTGTGGCCCGCCGGGTCGCACTGCTTAGCGCTCAGGTAGGCTGTCACATGCTCAGAATGCCCAGGTCTCCGTGCTTCCCCCCCAGGTGCTGCAGCGGTGGACGGAATGGCCTCCGCGGGGGCCGCAGCGACGGAGCCCGAAAATCACAGGTAAATCGGCAGGGTCGGCTGGTCGGGTTTCCTGTAGTTTCTTTGCGAGGCCTGACACTTGTGGTGACACTGTTGATTGTCATGACAGCGGCAGAGGCTGGGCTCAGCCCTCAGCACGTGTCCCCTCGGGAGCCTGGGCGCCTCTGGGTGCTCTGACCCATGCCGGGTGGGGGCCCCGAACACGCGGCCAGCCCTGAAGCGCGGCGCCCGCTTCTCTCCAGCTCCTTGGTCCCGAATCTGAACGCCGTCTGGTTTCTTTGCGGTTTCTTGTAATTTTAGTTTACGATTCTCACGGCGCCTCTTAGATTTATCCGCACATTGCTGGAGACACAAACATCTTACCTCAATCCTGATTCCTATGTGGACTCTGAATCCTAAGTTTTCTAGCTTCCTCGACTCGCATTTGTCCGCGGCCTGGGCCGGGGTTACCTGGGAGAGCCCATCCTGCTACGTGGCCTCCTGTCCCCGTGACCTCTGACCTTGACAATGCCCGGGCTTGTGCCTGACCGCCTGGGAGCCCTTGCTTGGGACGTTTCTCAGGAACTCTTCTGTGACTGAGAGGCCCCTCTGGAGGCTCTCACGCGGTGGTCACATGTCCAAGTGGCCATTCCACAGGGACACCTGGCCCACCTCCTTCCTTCTCCGTGGGTTCTGAGGTCCGTTTCCACGTTCCAGGCTGCCCGTGGGTGTTACCCGCCCAGACGACTTTTCAATTGAACTAGTACCCCTGATACTTTTGGTCCTTGACAAGCAAAAGTGCCCTGTCCTAATTTCCGAGGCCCTCCCGGAAGGCTGAGCCCCGCCAGGGCGGGTGGAGGGAAATGGTTGAAACGAAGCTGCAGAAGGGACAGTCGGGCACCAAGTGCCATGAATGTGACTCCGCCCTGCGAGTCACCCCTTCCCTCCGCGTAAGAATTATTCACCCTCTCAAAAGTTTTATTGTCAATGACTCACTTGTCACAGGCCACCTGCCGGGAGGCCCGAGTGTGGTGTCAAGGCCTCTAAGTGCAGCCTCCGATTAAAGACACAGGAGTCTGCTGGAACCGAGCTTCCGCGCGAGTGGCGAGCATTACATGGACTATTGTGTACCTGCTATTAATAACATCTGCCACGAAGTCGAAAGCTTTCATCTGGCTGATCTTTGTGTTCCCTACGCCCCGCAGAGGGCCTGGCCGGGGTCTGACTTTAGGCTCCGCTGAGGTTCCCCAAGCTCCCTGCGGCCCCTCTTCCCCCATCTCTCTGGTCCCCACCTGGCCCAAGACACCTGGGCCAGTCTGCATGAGGGTCGCCAGTGCTCTGCCTTTCCCGCTGGTCCAGCCCAGCGGGTTTCTGGTCCTTTGGCGTCGTATGCATTTCTTTTACAAAGTGGGTGCTCTAAGCACAGTTGTTGGATGCAGCGTCAGAGCAAAGCCAAATGCAGTCGCCGAATGTGCGTGTGGACTGGAGAAGCCGTTTTCCAAGCAGTGTGTCTCCGACTCGTTATTTTGAAATCTTTTTAAAAGTAAGACTGAGCGTGTTCTGGTCCGTCCTGACCGTGTCCACTTCATATACTTTAAGGTCACTGCCGGTCTTTACGGCCACACCCGTTTCCTCTGTTCTTCCTGGAGTTGAAGAGGAGAAAGGTTTTCTGTTTTGAAATGTGCGACAAAGTTGTCTTCACATCCTGTTGTGTCAGTTCCGTGCCCATTAGCCCTTCTGTTTGGAGCTCTGCTCACGGCGTCCTGAGGGACAATAGGCAAGAAAGGACACTCCCGGTGTTTGTCACTGAAGGAGCTCGACATGCTCCGGCTGTGTTGCGATGTCAGAATTTCTGCTTGGCCGAGAGATCAGAAAGGATTGTGCTAACCACGCCTATGGCTGCATCTGGCCCCTGGAAAGCGGCCTGCCTGCCCCAGGAGAGTGAAACGCCATGACTGGTCATCCTGGGAGCCAGTCAGGACTGGGGTGGGGGTGGGGGGATGGTTGGGCCAAGGGCCTCGGGCAGCTACTGCCTTCCTGAGTGAGATTTGCTTCTCTGCCCTGGGCGCAGCCGGCGGTCTGTACGTGGTGGTGGCCGAGGGTTATGATAAGCTCCGAGGTGTCTAACACTTGTGCTTGACGGTCACCCAGCACCCTCCCCTTTACAGCGGGACTTTCTGTTTCTTTTATATTTCGTGTTTTTCTTTTCTACATCAGCCTTTTGAAAATGTGAGTTAATTTGGATGCCATTATTTCTAAGGAAATAGGAGGGCAAGTTTGAGAATATGAAGAAGCAATCTCATGTGGAATCGAGAGAAATAGGAGCCTGGGTGTCTACTGTGGATGCCCAAGCCAGACAGAATGGACACAGATGAACCGGTGGCTGAGAGAGCCTGGGTTACATGAGCCGATCAGGTGGGTGGAGCGGGGAGGGCGGCTCACCTGTGCTGCAGGGGCTCGGAGACCACACACGGTCACGGCCTCCAGGCGCTTTTTGTTACTGGGGATGATTAAAATGATTACGTTGATTATATACATGTTATGGAAAGACGTAGACAAAGTATAATGAGCCTCACCTGGAGAGAGCGGGAGCATGGATGGGCTCTCTGAGCGAGGCTCCCGTGCCCGGGCAGCGGAGCAGGAGCCAAGGCGGGAATCGGGACCCTCCGCTGGGGACAGGAGATGCTGCAGAGTCATCGGGCAGAGTCAGCAGGGGAAGGCTGGATTCAGACGGGAGGGGACCAGTCAGGAGGCCGCATCTTACAGAAAGCCCAGGACAACGCGTTTCTGCTCACGCCTGTTTTTCTCACTGGGTTCTGAGCAGCGGAGGCAGGTTCGCCCTTAGGGCGACCTCTTAGCTGTGACACCGTGGCTGGTGCACAGCGGGCGTCCAGTGCGGCATAGCTCACGGCTTAGTTACAGATGGTCAGGTGACTTGTGTCCTGGGAAATAATCAATGTCATGCCCAAGGCAAAAATAAATAAATAGAAATAAAAATAGGCATGAAAGCTCCCCGCAGTATCTGTTTGGAAGGGAAATGGGTCCTTCAGGTTAGATTTGAAATAGCGCACAAACCTCCGAACACTTGTACTCCCTAGGAAGAGGTCCCTGCCTTAGGGACCCCGGTCACAGTGAAGCGTCTCCCCAGGCTCATGTCGCGGTGTCGGTTCTGTGACGTGTACTTGACAGGTCTGGCTCGCACGGCAGTGAGGAGCGCGAGCTGCCCCGGGAAAGGCCCGTGACGGGGTTTGCGGGTCACGGCAGCTGAGACCATCCGTCTCTTGCATCGGCTCTTCTTTCATACAGAGTGAGATCGAAGAGGAAACGTGCTCAGTGGGTTCCGGGCGGGAAGTCAGACCCAGAAGGAAGAGAAAGAAGGTCCTGCTCGCTCTGAGCTCGGGACGCACGCCCATCTCCCTGTGCGCCCTGGCAGCCGGCGGGCCGGGGTCTGGGGGACACGCCTGTCTGTGGGGGTCAGGAAGGCACGGCGTGGAAGGCAGTGTGTTTAGGGCTTGCTCTAGGGGGTTTTGCAGGCGAACATAACAATGTACACCCGCATCTGTTTTCGTAAAGAAACCTTCATTGGAACGGCCACACCATTGCATGTGGTCTGCCGTCTCTTTCATGGGACGGTGACAGAGCTGAGTGCTGGTGACAGACCCGCAGAGCTGCAAACCCAAAAATACTTACCGTCTGGCCCCGTATGAGGGAGAGTTTGCCGACACCTGTCGGAAGCAGGAGCGTGCTAGCGGTGGGGATGTCAAATTTCTCGTCTTCCCGTTGAGAAAATGGGGCTGTTTCCTCATCGCTCCCATCGGGCACTGTACGGGGTGAGGGGGGGATGGGGGGGCGCTGGCTAGTGCGACAAGAAGGAGAAATGCACGGTGCAAAGATGGGAAAGGTTAGCCCTGCGTGGGGGAGTTTGGAGGCAATTTTTTCTTCTCTTTCCATCCATATTTCCTATGGTAAATGTGTTATTTTTTAAAATAAAGTCAAGTTTATGTGCCGAGTGAACTTGAGTTGCGTCGCAGCTGGCCATACTCTTTACGTGGAGTGACTGAGCCTGTCGATCCTGTCCTTTTGCGTCCTCCCTGACTTGTTTCTGATCCGCCCTCCCAGCGGGCCGTGGGCGTGGGGACGGGCCGTGGGCGTGGGGGGCTGTGGGCGTGGGGACGGGCCGTGGGTGTGGGGACGGGTGAAGGGGCAGAGCGCAGAGGAGGGAGGCGGGGGCCTGGGCAGAGGGAGGCGGGGCCTGGGCAGCCGCAGTGTCTGTCCTTCCCACTGCGCGCTGCGTGCACCCCGCTGACGTAGGGCGTGCCCGTCACCGGACCCGGTGTCTGCTAACCTCCTCCCTCCTGGTGCGGAACAGCACCTGCTTCGTGCAGCTTCGCAATCCGCACATAGCAAGGATGAAGGAAGACGTCCTCTACCATTTCAACCTGAGCACCAGCACGCACGATCTCCCCGCCATGTTTGGGGATGTGAAGGTAAGAAGCGGGGCCTTTAGTTCTGGGGCTTTGTCCTCAGATCGGCCTCTCCGTAGGTGGCGCGTGGACTTCTTTACAGAGTGCAGAAGTGACAGGACAAGTGCATGAAGGGTACGTTTATCAGATGTCTGCAAATTGCTACTGATGTTTCGACTATATGAGCCAGTGAAAGAAAAGCATCCTGAGCACCGCCATGTCGGTCCCTGAGTAATTCCTCCCGATTCAGTCTGTCAGGGGAACAACGTAGGTTCTCTAAGGAGATACGAAGCAGGCAAGGATGGGTAAGAGTGTTGGGGACCGACGAAGATGCTGTTGATACTTTTAGTTCGTTGCCTTTAATGCCTTTAATGCCTCCCAGGCCATTTTCCCCACGAAGTCTGAAGCGCCTCCGTTCAGGTTTATCTTTACGTGGGATTTTTAAAATGTCTAATCCCTGTGGGTAAAGATGGACTCACGTGTGAACTCAAAACAGAAACAAACCAGAGACACTAGAACCCACTGGGCCGCCTGAGCTCATCACGGCACAGCGCCGCGCCCATCAGCACTGCGCTCTCCGTGGAGCTGGTGTCAACACTTTCCGTGTGTTTTAAATTAACTCAATTTCCATTCTCCCATTAGTTTAATTTTCTTTTCTTCTGTTTAGATGCCAATAATTCTTTGATCATCAACGTTTTTAAGCTGGTTTATTTACTCGTTTTTCGGTGCTAAACAAAATGAAAAGCAAGTTCTTGCATATGGCACCTCAGTTTTCTGAGAGCCGCCAGCCACCATGGCTGCCGCTGACCAAGCCCCCACCAGCCCCCGGCACTTTCCACTCACTGGACATTCGGCCCTCGGCCAGCTAGGCGACAGGGAGCAGGCAGGACCACATTCTACAGATGGGCTGTGGGCCCAGGCAGCCCAGTGAGGAGTCGGTGCCATCTTGTTCCAAACCTAGCTGCTGTCCACGGGGTGGGTGGGGACTGGCAGGGGGACCTGGGTCACCTCTGGAGGCAGAGCAGGGGCTGCTTCTCCTGTGTCACGTGGCGCCCATTGCTTTGGACCCCCAGGCCTCCTGCGCAGGGTGGTGGTTCCATGAGCCGCGGCCTGGAACTGAGTGTCAGGGTCATCAGAAGGGTAGCCGGGGAGCCTGCGTTTCTAGCGAGTTCTCGGAGGGGCTGATGTTCTGTTGGGGCACCCCCAGGACCCCGGCTCTGTGCTGCCCTTGCACTGACCCGGGCTTGTTCCCTCCGCAGTTCGTGTGTGTTGGGGGCAGCCCTTCCCGGATGCAGGCCTTCATCAAATACGTGTCCTCTGAGCTGGGCCTCGGCCGGCCAGATGAGGACTATCCCAACATCTGCGTGGGGACCGACCGCTATGCCATGTTCAAAGCGGGGCCAGTGCTGTCCGTCAGTGTGAGTACCTGCCCCGGGCCAGTCTTCGGCTCCGTGGATTCCCCAAGACGACCCGGTCCCCTCGACAGCCATTCGACCCGGTCCCCTCGACAGCCATTCGTGTCAGGCTAGGGTTAGGGGAGCCCGCACTTGGGCTGCAGAGAGGAGAGACCACACAGTCACAGGGCACACATGGGGACACTCCCAGCTGTGTGCTCACGGAGACGGTGTCAGGCCGGAGGCCCAGGAGGAGGTCCCTGGACAGGGCGGCGAGGTGAGGCCTGCGCCACCTTGCAGTGAGGTCCCCACATGCGCGCGGCTTAGCAGTGAGGGGCACGCGGATGTCCGCCGTCCCACCAGAGGCGCCTCTGTGTTGGGCGTCCGTCGTAGGCCGCGGTGTAAATGACAAGCTCCATAGTTACGGTGTCCCTGTGCCTACACGAGCACCCCTGTTCAGCGCCACAGAATTCACGGACGCGCTTCCCATGTGCAGGACACCGTGGCACATTCCCAAAGGGGCGCGGTGCCTTAGTAGCAGCGCCCGCTGGGCTGGGGGCACTGGAAGGGGCTGTAGGGAGGGCGGAGGGCAGGGAGACGGAGGACGTGGCGCAGAACCGAGGACGCATCCCGTCCGTCGCGCTGAGCCACCACCAGTCCGTTCAGCCGGAGCGGAGAGCGCAGGAAGAGGAGGCGGGAAACGCAGCGGGCGTGGGCGGCGAGCACCTGCGCGGGCACCTGCGCCGGCCTCTGCGCCGGCGTCCGGGGCCTCAGCTTGCGACAGGCGCGCAGGGGGTCGGACAGCTCAGCGCTGCGTCAGAAACGGTGTCCGAGTCCCCGTTCGAGTCCCGCTGGAGCGCCCTCCCCTCCCCCAGCGAGGCGCCCGCAGACGCCCGCGCGTAACGCCGGTTTCCTGCCCGTTCCAGCACGGCATGGGCATCCCCTCCATCGCCATCATGCTGCACGAGCTCCTCAAGCTGCTGTACCACGCCCGCTGCTCCGGGGTCACCGTCATCCGCATCGGCACCTCTGGAGGGATAGGTGAGGTGCGGCGGGGCCTCGCGTGGGCGAGGACCGGGCCCTGCCGGTCCGGGACGCTCATGGACGGGGCGTCGAAGGAGCTTGTGTTCTTAGTTTTCGGCCCAGCCTGTTCTCCTAACCTGCACCCCAGAAACAGGCCCAGAAGGGCGCCCCGCGAGCCTTCCCGCGTGCTCGCTCCTCCGGGCCTCCCGCCCCGCCCCCGCCTTCTCGGCCTCTGTCCCCGGCTCGCCCCCCTCCCTGTTCCTGCAAAGCCTCGGAGCAGTTCGTGAGCAAACCCTCAGCCCAGCCACAGCGGGCAGAGTGAGAGGGAGCACGGGGTTCGGTGTCCCCAAGCTGCCCGAAGAGGCCCCCGTCCTCAGCATTTGTTCGACAGCCACAGAGATCGCGAAGAATGGGGCGCAGTGGGGAGCGAATGCTGGGCGTCGCGCTTTCAGCGAAGCTGTCAGGCAACTTCGCCTTACGCAGGTCGTGCCCCTGGCGCCCCAAGTCTGCGCCAGCCTTTGCGCTGTGAACCGGGTTCTGCGGGGTTCCCGGCCCGCCCGTGCGCGTGCGCGGGTGCTTCCCGCGGCTCCTGGGTTCAGGGTAATGCTAGACTTTAGGTTATCCGCCGGGGGCTGGGGGTGCTGCGGCCCTCAGATCTTCCGCACACATCACCTCACGTTTCTTTCTCATTATTAGACAGAGTAGTATGAAAATCAGTTTGCAGATGGTAATTGCGTTTAAAGTTGTTCCTGGGAAACAGCCGTGACCACGAGCCGCCTGGTCCTGCAGCCGTCGCTGCGGTGCCATCCACCGGACAGGCACAGCCGCGCGCCCGCGCCCTGTCCGCCCTGAGCTCCGCAGCTCGGCGCTGAGTCCTGGCCTCGCAGGGGGTTTGGAATCGACCAGAGAGAGCTGGGGAGGGAGTAGGCTAGCGTCTGAGTCCCCGAAACTGCCCCGCGAAGGTGGACAGTCAACGAGAGAGCCAGACCCCCGGCCCCTGGACTACAGTGGTGACAGAGCGTGACACGGTGTCCCCGCAGAGCTCCAGGTGGGAGGCTGGCATGGGCACCCTCTGGAGAAGCAGCACAGGGCAGCCACGGGGCGTCCGACCGCCGTGGGAACGGAATCCCAGCACAGCTCCGGGCCGGGGACAGTGCGGGGCCTGTGCGAGGGACACCGGGAGGTGCTCACTCACGCCGAGATCCGTGGGGCCTGACTTCATGAAAGCCGTCAGCCCGAGCTGTCTTCTAGGCCCACTCTCTGGGGAGAACCGCTCAGGGACCAGGGAGAGGGGTCCAGGCAGACATCCAGGAGCAGGGGAGCAGGACCGCGGGGCGTTAGCGACCTTCGCGTTCTTTAACGCCCCGTGGAAACAGCCGGCGTGGGCGCGCTGGAACACACCTCCCGACTTCCTCCTTCCTGAATGTTCAGGGAAACCAATTTCGCACTAAAATAAGCATCAGAAGGGGCTCGTGGTCAAATCACGTGCAAAGCCATATAAGATTAAGAATAGGGGCAGAATAATGTCTCTGCGCACAGGGACACGGCCCAGGATGCTCTGCCCGGAAAACCTTCAGGCTGGACCTGGAAGGTCATCACCCCAGAGGAAGACGGGTGGTCAGTGGCCGGTCGCCGTCCGAGCTGGGATTGGGGCGCATGGGGGTTCATATGCTGTTCTTGTCTACTTTTGTAATTTCTTAAAATCTTAAATAGTGAAAAGGCACGAAACAGGGACCAGGTTCACCCGCGGTGGTGATCGCTGGGGCCACTTAAACAGCGCAGTGACCGGGAGCCACGCGGCACCGGAGGGCGGGTCCCGGCTCCTTCTCCTTTGCTCTCTCCCCTCCCCTCCCATACCTTCCGCGCCGCTTCCGCCTCTCACCTTTGGAGCAGACGCTGGCCTCCGAGCGAGGGCGCCGCCGGTCCCTTTCAGAGCTAGTGGGCTGCAGTATCTCCGGGCTCCCGTGTTTCTGCGCGTGCTTGGCTCCGCCCCCCGCCGCCCCAGGTGGCTGTGACACCCGCCTCTTCCTGCAGGTCTAGAGCCGGGCTCCGTGGTCATCACGCGGCGGGCGGTGGACGCCCGCTTCCGGCCGGAGTTCGAGCAGGTGGTCCTGGGCGAGCGGGTGGTCCGCAGCACGGAGCTGCATGAGCCGCTGGCGCGCGAGCTGCTGCAGTGCTCCGCGGACCTGCGCGAGTTCGGCACGGTGGTGGGCGACACCATGTGCACCTTGGACTTCTACGAAGGTGGGAGTGGCGGCCGGCCCGCGGGGTCCCCGCACCGCCCTTCCCACGTCGGTGTGGGCGCTGCGCTCTGCTTTCCGCCGAGTGCGCGGTTTGGGCTCCAGGGCGCGTGGGCTGCAGGGGTGGAGAGCGCCCTGTGTCCTGGTGGGTGGAACAGCGGGCGGTGACTGGGCGCATGCGGTCAGCACCCACGCCAACGTGGGCATGTCGCCCTTTGTCTTCAGGGCAAGGCCGCCTGGACGGCGCTCTCTGCTCCTACACGGAGAGGGACAAGCAGGAGTACCTGCGGGCGGCCCACGCGGCCGGCGTCCGGAACATCGAGATGGAGTCCTCCGTGTTTGCAGCCATGTGCCGTGCCTGTGGCCTCCGAGGTAGGTGGCACTTGGCCCCACCCCTCTTCCCACACCCGTCCTGCTGGCCCAGCCTGGTCACCCTCTCTGGGTCCCTCCCCTCCCCCCACCCCAGTGTCTGCCTTCCTCAAGGTCCTGTCCCCAAGGCCTGCTCTGGACCAGGTGGCATTGCGCACCCCCGGCTCAGACTTCCTTTGACTGTCACGTGGCCAAATGCAGGATTCTCGGTGGCTCAGGACTCTCGGGCTGCCAGGGGGGCTGGGAAGGATGACCAGAGGCCACCAGGTGGGCTCAGGTGCTGCAGGCAGTAAGGCTGCCACCCGCCCTGCAGTGAATCTGGCTTTCAGAGCTCTGTGGATTTCTAAATTGGGATTAATCCACCCCAAGTTCCTAGCCACCCAGCAAGGTCCTGCTCTGCTTTCCAGGATGCCGGCCTCCCCGTCATCGTCCCTGGCCCTTCAAGGCCGAGCAGGCCCACGGCTGATCCTGGGAAGCAAAAGTCGGGGAGACTACAGCGAGGCCAGGGCAGGGTGGCGTAAGGCGGAGGGGCCTTCCAAGCCCTTCCACGGTCTCCATCTGTCAGCGTGCCTGTTGGTCACCACGGTGGCCCTTCCCCTGAGGGGGTAGCAGAGGTGACGCCTCTGGTCTGTGAACTAAGCCACAGGTGCAGCACTTTGCCCTGACGTGGTCTTTGCTCTTTGCAGCGGCCGTGGTGTGTGTCACCCTCCTTGACCGTCTGGAAGGGGACCAGATCAGCAGCCCCCGCGAGGTGCTGGCTGAGTTCCAGAAGCGGCCGCAGCGGCTGGTGGGCCACTTCATCAAGAAGTGCCTCGCAGTGGCTTGAAGGACCCTGCGTCTGGAAGACGAGTGGCCATCACTGCTGCAAATAAAACCATTGTCCCAAGCCCCTTCTGCGTGACGCGTGCACACGGCACATGAGACTTGGGGACAGGGGCGCGTCTCGGAGGCGGGGAACCCCCCACTCGCTACACGGGGTTCGCTGGCTGGGCTGCTTGGGGGCGTTTTCGGTGTCGTTCTTCTGATTTGGGTTTTCCTTAACAGCGTTTCCCGGAAAAATGAAATATTCCTAGTGAAAAATGTCAGACCTTTACGTTCTAATGGTGGTTAGATTTACTTCACTAAATGAGAAATCCAGTTATAGTGCCAGGAAACCCGTTTCCTGATGCGTTTTGGAGTTGTGTGCATCACGTGTAACGAGAGAGCAGCGAGAACCAGAGAAGCAGACACAGGACTATGAGAAATAAGTGCTCACGCGAACACGTGTGTGCAGTTAAAGTGTATGGTCCACTTGTGTGTGAGCTTGGGGGGGCCGTGTGGGTCAAATGCGCCGGTCACGTGTCAGCAGGCCGCTAGGGAGCCAGCCGCGTGTGCGGGACTGGCTGTGGCCATGCTGGATTTTCGAGTGTGCAGCAGATTGGTGGCTGTGTGTATTGTCCCCGAGTCAGCTGTACATATGCACAGTTCCCAAGTTACAACCAGCCACGTTCTGGAACCTTCCACGTGTGCCCAGTGACACTGCCATAATTACCCTCTGTTCGCCCCGTGGTGGGCGGACGAGCTGGGTCCCAGCTCACTGCGCCCCACGCTGCCCCTCAGGCTGCACTGCCAGCCTCCGGGCACCTCGGCTTCCTCCGGGGCGGGTCACCGAGAGTCCGGCTGGGAGATGAGGGTGGGTGGAGGGGCGAATCCAGGGTGCCCCCTCCTGTCTCGAGGAGTCGGGTGTCCCAGGCCCTCTCAGCCTGGGGCGGGGAGGGGGGCGGTCTTGGGGAGTCTCCGACTTCTGGGTTGGCCAGTTGACTTCTCTGCTGTGGCAGTGTGGCTGATTCTGGTGTTGGACCGTGTTTTAAATGTGAGCCGTGTTTCCCGCTTGTGCACGGAGGTGTGGGTCTCGCAGCTCGGCTCTGCGTGGCTGTGTGACTTTGGGGCACAGGGAAGTGTAAGGGCTCTGGTGTTGGTATGTGTGGTTCACAGACTCTTCCAAAAGCTCCTTCGCTGACATTTTGAGTCGCCCCAGCTGAGGGTGGGTGGGTCACTCAGGAAGTACTGAACCCTGCACCCTCAAATGCTCAAACAGCCCGTCCTCCCTGCCCCTGCTCACTGCTGGAGGCAGTGGTGTGGCAGGTGAACCCCAAAGTTTCCTTTGGCTCCCTCCAGTGGCTACTTGCTGCACCCCGTATCAGAGGCTGCCTAGGAGGGAGCCCCCGTGGAGGCTGGTGGTGGCTGTCCACTTATAACCCCAGCACAAGGTCCTCCCCTCCCCACCCCCGTAAGTGTGGCTACTGAGGTCCCCTGCCACTGCCCAGGAGGACATCTGGTGAGCGAGGGAGGATGCAGACACTGGGCAATTGACAGCATTTAAGCGGAAGAGGGTGTCGCTACCAGCAGAGAAGGGCTGGATCCCTCAGGGACGTCCTAGAACCCGCACGCTGGCAGCTTCCTCTGGGCGAGGCACAGGGAACCAGGCTCCCACAGGTGACAGTTTCCAGCGATGCTCCCGGTGGGCCTGTGCTGCCCTCTGCTGGCCGTGAGCGGGAGGGCATGCCGCTTCTGCCAGTGCCTTCTGGGTGTGTGTGGGGCTCTTCCTGGCATCACAGGGCGTGTGAGGCTGCCTGACGGCCTGTGGGGGCTGGACAGGCCCGTCACAGGGAACAGCTGCTGAACAGTGTCTCGTTCTGATGGGGTGAAGACAATCACACGACAACTGAACTGGGACTGGTTTGGTTACCAAGATGACTCTGGAGCTGACCTTGAAAACGTCCTCAAACAAGAGTTACCTGGATTTCTCCGAAAGGCCCCTCCCTCACCCTACACGGCCACCCCACCGATCGTCTGGTCCGGTCCGTGTCTGCTTCTATTTCTGGTGCTGACGGTGATGTGACCCCTCTGAGCAGGGTCGGACAGCTCTGACACGGTCCACTCCCGGTGCTTCACGAGTCAGAACTGGGGACGTGACTGGGTTGGTTCCGTTTCCGCTACC